GCGAGGAGTGCGGGCGCAGCTTCAGCTGGAAGTCTCAGCTGGTCATCCACCGCAAGAGCCACGCCGGCCAGTGGCGCCACTTCTGCGGCGACTGCGGCCGCGGCTTCGACTGGAAGTCCCAGCTGGTCATCCACAGGAAGAGCCACCGGCCCGAGGCCCCGTGAGCCCCGCCTTGGGGGCCTGCTGCTCGGCCTGGGTCTGGGAGATTGCAGTGATTCAGAGTTCTCGGGGTCCCCCCCCCCCCCGGCTCAGTCTCCCCCCAAAAGCCACCTGGATGCAAGGAAAAGAAGCCGCCCCCTCCCCTTATCTGTTCTAGAGTGAGGCCCGGGTTCAGTCCACTGCTGAGTGGTGGCCGCCTCGTGACTTCCAGGCCCTGAGCTCCCCACCTGTGACACGGTGCAGGCTGAGGACTCTCCCTGCCTCTGGGACCTGCCTCCATGGCCCCTGGCGGATGCTCAGACTGCCCTTCCCTCCCCTCCTGAAGCCACTGGGCCAAGGTCTCTGTGTGGAAGGTGCTGCAAGTGCTGCAGAGCCTAGCCAGCTTCTGTTTGCAGGCAGATGGAAGACTAATGATCCTCTACGTGCATTTCAGACTTTAAACAAATACCACTTTTATAATAAGAAAGTTTCTGCATAAAGATCCTGATGTCTGGTATCTGCTGATCACATCAGCAGCTGGGACCACAGAGGAGCCACACCCACAAGACCAGCGGTCCTGGACCCCAGCCTACCTTGTTCCCTGGCCTCGTCCTTTGAGCTCTTGAGTCCTAGCTTGAGTGGCCACGAGGGGAACTTCCTTTCCAAATGTGGATGGACAAGGGTGGTCTCCAAGAAAAGGGGCCACAACAGATGTCACCTAGGCCAGGCGCGCCTGCGGTGAGGGCTGCATCTCCACAGCCCGCACAGCCGGTCCGTCGGTGACAAAGCAAGAGGGCAAAGGAGCAGCTGCCTGCTGCCCAGAGGTCTGGATTCCTGGGTGGTCATTTGGGACTTTGGCCAGTGCCCTGTATTAATTTCCTGTCGTTACGCTAACAAACTTGGTGGCTTGAAACAACACCTTTATTCTCTTACAACTCTCACAGGGCTGGTGTCTCTTGGAGGCTCTAGAGAAGAATCCGTTTTATTGCCGTTTCTAGCTTCTAGAGACGGCCACATTCCTTGATTTGTGGCCCCTTTCTCCTCTCCAAAGCCAACAGTGGGTGATCAGGTCTTTCTTATGCTGCCATCTCTCTGTCTCTGACTCTTTTGCCTCCTCCTTACAAAGTCACTTGGGGTTACATTTAGGGCTCACCTCGTAATCTGGGATGATCTCCCTGTCTCAGGACCCTTCATCACATCTTGTCCATCCCTACCTGCACACTTGATTTCCTCAGCACAATTCCTTTTGCACATGAGGTAACATATATCATGGGCTCTAGGGATGAGGCCATGGATGTCTGGGGCTGTTACTCAACACCCTTCCCCATCTCCTTCCTACTCTGAAAACAAGGGGCGTTTTCATGGGGGATGGTTTCAGGAAACAGGTGCACCCAAGGAAGGAGCCCTCTGCAGCCTTGGGCCCATGCAGGAGGGGCAGGTGGGTGTTGAGGGTGGCTGTGGCCATTGTAGGGGAGGAGCTACCTGGGGGGGATCACCTGGGCTGGGGGCCAAGACCTTGCTGCAGCCTAAAGATGGGAGGGGGAAATCTCCATGGGGGTCCTGTCTCCTTCATCCCCGGTCTTCTGAGGACCTACTGACCTATTTCCTGGAGAAGCACTGCCAGGCTAGAGATGGAGCTGGAGGGGCGTGATCTGGTGGGCAAGCAGGAGGCGAGATCAGTGCTTGGGACATGGAGGAAGAGGACGGAGCAGTGCCCCTGGGCTCAAGCCAGGCCCTGGCCCCAGAAAGGAAAGCAGAGGGTGAAGGCTCTGGGAGGGCGCAACCCCACAAGGAAGGTGAGGGGACAGAGGGGAGCACTCCACTGAGGGAGAGTGGGCGGGCAGTTTTTTAATAACTTTTTTTGTAATTAAAAGTAGTTTATGTTGACTTAGAAGTTGAAATATACAAGAGAGCAAAGATCATGGAAATGGCCCCTAATTCCACCGTCTCATGGCTGTGCTTGTTCCAGGTGTTCACACACAGGGCGTTTGTTTTAGAAAGCTCCTGGAGGGCCGGCCCCGTGGCTTAGCAGTTAAGTGTGCGCGCTCCGCTACTGGCAGCCCGGGTTCAGATCCTGGGCGCGCACCGATGCACCGCTTGTCCGGCCATGCTGAGGCAGCGTCCCATGTACAGCAACTAGAAGGATGTGCAACTATGACATACACCTCTCTACTGGGGCTTGGGGAAGAAAAAGGAGGAGGACTGGCAATAGATGTTAGCTCAGGGCCAGTCTTCCTCAGCAAAAAGAGGAGGATTAGCATGGATGTTAGCTCAGGGCTGATCTTCCTCAAAAAAAAAAAAAAAAAGAGATTCTGGAGAGACTGTGTTGTTGTGAAGCATGCTTTTCTCACTCCCTCATTTCCCTGTTATTAAAAACGCCACAAGTTTTTTAACGTCTGGGTGAAAAGTTCCATTTTCTGGCCAGTACTGTCATTTCTGCCACGCCCACATAGTCCCTTGTTTTCCCCCCTGGCACCCAGTGCTGTGTGAACGCTCCTGAGCATACACTTCAGATGGAACTCTGGCTATTTCTTTAGAATAAATCTCCGAAAGTGGGATTGGTGAGTTAAGGGAGCATGGGATTTTTCTTTTTTGTTTTTGCCTTAAAACAACACAAATTATTGCATAGTTCTGGAGGTCACAAGTCAGACACAGTCTCAATAAGCTAAAATCTAGGTGGTGGCAGGGCTGCGTTCCTTCTGTAAACGCTGGGGGAGAATCCATTCCTTGCCTTTTCCAGTTCTAGAGTCTGCCTGTGTTCCTGGGCTCATGGCCCCTTCCTCCATCTTCAAAGCCAGCAGTGGCCAGTCGACTCTGTTACACTGCATCCCCCAGCACTCTTCTGCTTCCCGCTCCCATTTCTAAGGACCCTTGTGATGACACTGGGCCCACCTGGATAATCCAGGGTAATCTCCCAGTCCCAAGGTCAGCTGATGGCGCATGGGATTTTAAAATTCTCGATGGATATGTCAGAGCGTCTTCCGGAAACATGGGGCCAGTCGGCCTTCCCTCCAGAAGTTCCCCAATGGTCAGACACCCTGGATTCTCGTTTCCTACTGTCCTCTCCGGTTCCGTAGGCTGAACACGATTACAGTGTTGTTGCTGTGGCTGCGGTCAGGCTGAGCCCTCCTTCCCACATTTGCTCACGTTGCCTCCTCTTCCAGGAAGACAAGGGCGTGTGCCACCCTACTTGTCACTTCCTTGTGCATCTGGTTATTAGTGGTTTGAATTTTCATGTATCAGACCCATCGATGTCTTCCATCGCTTTCCTTGATCAGTTTGCCCATTTCATTCACCCCAGCCAGCTCTGCAGCCTGTCAACCTCCAGGGTGGGTTCCAGAATCTACCTCTTTCCATTGAAACTGGGCCAGCCCACTGCTACTGTGGCACCCACTCACTCCTTCCATTCCTTGGGCTGTCTCTGGGCTGAAACTGGGCAAAGGCCTGGGGCAGGTGTCTTTCTTCCCCATTCCAGCTGCTCGGGTCCCCCTCATCTCATGTCATCCTCGTGATAACCTCAGGAGTCTTTCCTCCTCCCCACCTGGGTCTTCCTTCAGGCCCCTTTACCTTCTTTGGCCACTGCCCCTGGGTTAAGCCTACTTGGGGCCCAGACACACTCCACCACCCTCAGCCCCCAGAGGTGGCCCGGTGATTGGGAGAGCCAGCATTTGACCTGTGCAACTCTGGAAGCATCTGTGGGTGTAGCGTAAGGACTAAAATTACGGCCCTTACAGCCCAAGGCCTCAGGATACAAAACACTCTTATCCAAGGTTACCAGGGATGGTGTTAAGGGCACCAGGTGGAGGGACCAGCGCCTGTGAAGGCCCAGAGGAAGATGGTGCTGCTGCGAGCCCGGAGCCCAGGACGGTGCCTGAGGAGGCCAGCAGGCTCAGAGGCAGCAGCCAGGTCAACATGGCACTTCTGTCTTCCATCCTTGGGATCTAGAAGCCCACAAAGCCCTCTGACCTGCAGAGCCAGCTGCTCACCCACCACTTGGTTGGGAGGCTGGGAAAGGGTCGTGAGGAGACGATCCACCAGGTGCAGAGTCTCCTTCCAGGCCTGTCAGTGAGAGGCAGTCATCAGAACTGGGAGAGATGAAGAAACCAACGCAACAGACAGAAGAGAGAGCCCAGTTGCAGACTCGCACACAAGCGCACACGACCTACGCCAGAGAGAGCCCTGCAGAGCTTGAGGAAGGAGGGGCTTTTCCATAAAAGTGATATCCACATGAGGAGCTAGGTGTGAAAGGCAAAACAATGAGGGCCTTTCATGGCAACACAGGCTACCTTTATGATCTCAAGGAGGAAGAATTTTCCTGATCAGACTAACACGAAGCATAAAGGGAAAGCTTGATAAATTGTAGTGCCTCAGAGTTAGGAGTATCTGTTTATCAAACATAAACAGAGTGAAAGGCAAGCCACAGAGGGAGAAGATATGGCCAGCTAGCATCCAGAGTAAATAATCATTTCTACCAATCCATGAGAAAAGGCAGGCACCACGAGAAAATGGGGCAAGCCTTTCACAAAAGAGGAAATCCAGATGACGATATGCACATGAAAAGTTCATCATCATGAGTCATCATGGAAATGAAATGCAAAAATACTAGTAGGCATTGACCAGGGGCCGGCCCGGTGGCACATGCTCTGCTTCAGTGGCCGGGGGTTAAATGCGCGTGCTCTGCTTCAGTGGCCGGGGGTTCACAGGTTTGGATCCCAGGCGGGCACCGATGCACCGCTTGTCGAGCCATGCTGTGGTGGCTCCCCCTATAAAGTGGAGGAAGATGGGCATGGATGTTAGCCCAGGGCCAGTCTTCCTCAGCAAAAGAGAGGAGGATTGGCAGATGTTAGCTCAGGGCCGATCTTCCTCACAAAAAAAAAAAAAAGAGAGACCAGAGCAAGTTCCCTTGCCCCCTCTACCACATAAAGACCCAGTGAGAAGACGGCCATTTATGAACCAGGAAGCGGATCCTCACCAGACACCAAATCTGCCAGCACCTTGATCTTGGACTTCAGTCTCCAGAACCATGAGAATAAATTTCTGTTGTTTATAAGCCACTGAGTCAATGGTATTCTGTTATAGCAGCCCAATCGGACTAAGACAACTAGCTAAGAATGTTTTGAAATAAGAGTAAGGAGAAGGAATTCTTTATCAGATATTAAAATTTATTACTAAGCTATGCCAATTAGAGCATTGTGGGACAAGAAACAGAAAGATCAATTGAATGAAATAAGAATAAAATATGTGTGTGATGTATTGAATAATTCGAGTTTCTAGTCTAGGGGGGAATAAGAAAAGTAAACAATTATGTTTTAATCCTTGCAAATGTAATAGCAAAATATGTGAGTGCCCCCAAGCTGGCTGGTGCTTAGGGAGGCAGAGATTTGTATAAAGGGCTGGTGAACCTGTACACTTGTGGATCCACAGTGAGATATTTTTATAACATCCACGCCCCCTGATGTTACACCTGCAGCGACAGGGTTGGCTAAATAACTCATGGTCAAAGCTCCTCTCTCAGCTAGGGTGTCCTTGACCATAAGGTGAGAACACCACTACAGCCCACTCTGTGAGATGTGATGAGGAGACAGACCATCAAGGTAGAAGTACCAGCCTTGGCCTGGCCCCAAGGGAGCCCACGAGGGTTCTTGGGCAGTTTTGTTCCTGCTGTTGTCGACAATGATCGCTTCCAATGACACTTCAAGGTGGGGTGGACATGCTCACTCTGCAGATGAAGAAAGAGGCCCTCATTGACGGCCAGAACCAAGATGCCAATATCAGGGACAACAGGTTCCCCTCTGGGGGAACTTCCCTGTACTCTTCTGGTTTAATTCCCACAAACACCTTTCAAGGTGGGCACGCACAATCATCAGCCCCATTTTAAAATGAAGGAAACCATGCACATTAGGCAGATGGTTCTGGGGACTTGCCCCAGGCCACACCGCATGTAAATGGCCACCTCTCATGCCACACTGCAAGCTCTGGGCTCCAAAGACCTGGGATGGAGGCCCTGCAGCCCTCTCCCATGCATCCCCGGTATGTGGTATCCTGTTGATTGAGTGAATTTCTTCCACTCACATCCCAGATGCTAGCTTTGTCTGTTGGTAGGAAATGCGGTGACATAGCCTCTCTGGTCAGAGCCCCTTGAACTGGGCACACAGGAATGCAGTGTTCCTCATCAGAAGAATGGCCACAACCTGACACCCACTCACAGCACGGTACATGCAAGAGCAGTGGTCTATCGGCTTAGGCTGGTGGCTTGGCACAGGAGCCCACGGAAACCTGGAGAGCAGGGTCCAGCAGGTCTGGAGGAATGGTTACAATACACGGCAGGAGCACCTGGTCACACTGAGGGAAGCCAGCACCAGCCTCTGCTGCTTCATCCATGCAGCTCCCTTCCAGGCTGGTCTCTGGTCCTAGAGAGTACAAGGGCCTTAAGGTAACAAAGACCTACTATGTGCAGGGCAAGAAGATGGGCCTCGAGGGGGGCCAGCCCAGCCTCTGCTGCTATGTGGCAGCTGTCAAATGATATTGGACCTACTGTGTGCACCAGGGGGCAGGGCTGGCCAGCCTGGGCCTCTGCTGCTATGTTCACACAGCTCCAGCTCCCTTCCTGACCAGGGCCTCTCCTAGAAGGAACAGGCATGTGAAACAACCTGAAGACCTACTGTGTGCAGGGGACAAGGACTGGACTGCAGTGGGCCAGGATCCCAGTCCAGTTGTGTGCACTGGTGTGTGGGGGATCAGAATTTGCCACCCCAAAATGTGTCTCTTTGGCTGGATTTTTTTTGTGTGAGGAAGATAAGCCCTGAGCGAACATCTGCTGCCAATCCTCCTCTTTTTGCTGAGGAAAACTGGCCCTGGGCTAACATCCGTGCCCATCTTCCTCCACTTTATATGTGGGACACTTGCCACAGCATGGCTTGATAAGCAGTGCATAGGTCCACACCCGGGATCTGAACCTGCAAACCCTGGGCCACAGAAGCAGAGTGCAGGAACTTAACCACTACACCATCAGGCTGGCCCCTGGCTTGATTATTTTTAAGAACTAAAGATGGAAAGAAACTTTGACCTTCACCCTAACTGCCTAAAAGAGTTTAAGATAGAAGACCTGTCCCCAGGACTAGCCATCACCATAGATAATTCTAGGTGTGGCAGACAGGAAGACTTTTAGCAAGGCTCATTTTATCAAAAGATCTTTTTCAGGGCGGGCCCTTGGCTTAGCGGTTCAGTGTGCGGTGTGCGGTTAAGTGTGCGCGCTCCGCTACTGGCGGACCGGGGTCGGCATGAACCGACGCATTGCTTCTCCAGCCATGCTGAGGCCGTGTCCCACATACAGCAACTGGAAGGGTGTGCAACTATGACATATGGCTATCTGCTGGGGCTTTGGGGAAAAGAAAAGAGGATTGGCAATGGATGTTGGCTCAGAGCCGGTCTTCCTTGGCAAAAAGAGGAGGATTAGCACGGATGTTAGCTCAGGGCTGATATTCCTCACAAAAAA